GGCTGGGAATCGCGGTGGTATGAGTCCGGCCCACACTCGGACCCAGGAGCGCTGCAGCTCCCGGAGAACTCGCTGCCTGGGCGCAAGGCGCGGGGGGCACTTGTCAGTTTTCTGATCATGATCTTCGGTGTCTAGTTGGTAGTCATCTTTGGATGATTTAAATAGTAAAGATAAATTATAAATCTCTCAAGTAGCAAAATAAATATCTAATAAGTAATACAAATAATAAATATCCTTTGCTATCACTGGCACAATTAGGTTGGGGAAAGGCTGGAAAGGGTAGGGAATTGGAGGGAAGGAACGGATGGGAAGACAGGGGTGGAGTTGGAAGTAGAAAGGGAAAGTAGGTCTAAAAAATAACCACAAAAGTTTCACAGGAACAGATGCTTGCCTCGTTTAAATTAACCACCTGGGTAAATCTAAGTATTGAAGGCAAATGAGTAGTCTTATTTGTAAAATTCTTGTACTAGAATCTGCCATTGTCAATTCCATCATAAATATACTGCAGTATAAAGATATGGGGGGGCAAGGTAAAGGACTGGAGCAGGGAGGAATGGAAAAAATTAGATGTGTTACATATATGTACCAATGCTCTTTGATGAATGTAATCATTTTGTACTGCTAACGAGTACCAATAAAAGCAAAAAAACATTTTTTAAAAAACAGTTACTGGGATCAAAACTTTGGGTGCAATTTACACAAGTTTCCTGTTAAATCGCTATGAGAGTTTGGATTGAGGATATAATATTGCATTAGCCAGACTTCATGGGTTGCAAGCAACAGTAAAATCTCAGGCTAATTTAATCATAGAAAGGAATTTATGGTCATAGATTGCTCAGTTCAAAATCAAAGAGAGAACTTTGAAAATAAAAGGCACTTAGGTAGTACCGGAGTTCTTCATAGAAGCAGGCAACTAAGTTCAGTCTCTTTGAAACACCAGTGGACTAAATAACACATCACCTTGTATTTCCTTTACATTGCTCTTTAAGATGTTTAGGGATAGACATTCTAATGTACCTCCTCCTTGGCTGGGAGGTGGTGGGGCACTTTAACAATACCAGGAAGAAATATATGATACAGCACAGAGATAATCCCTTAAGTAGGAGAGAGGTGCTATTACCAGGAGAGGAGTGGCTGTGGAGCAAGATCCTCAACAGATGTCAGTTACAAAAAAGCAGGCTGGAAGGTGTCAGAATGTCAGCATATATAAACAATGTAATGATTAAAAGAAAACAGGGCTGATTTTTTTTTTTTAAGTAAATTTGTAGCTTTTGTGCATCTGTTGCCACATCCCAATTGTGAACATTTGTATCATTCTAAAAAGTTTCCTTGCATCTTTCCGTTACTTGTATGTTGTGGTATGTGAGGGCCTATTTATATGTGTCTTTTATGTGTGTGTACATATTTATATATTCTGTGTAAATATTTAGTGTCAAAAATGTATACATACTTCAGGAAAAGAAAAACTTGCATAAATATTTTAATACTAAATTTACTCAGACATCATGAGATAAATACAAGTTACCATGAGATAAATACAAGTTACCATTACCATCATGAGATAAATACAATTACACGAGGTACTCAAAGTGTTGGCTATTAGCTTCCAGACATGTATTTTTTTTTTTTTCCTGAAGTATGTATACATTTTTTGGTGGACTCTATTAAAGGAAGTATTCATTTCTGTTTCACTGCCAATTTTTAATACAAATGAATAATACTAGAAAGTTGTCTTTTTGACATATATGGTTAAATCAGCAGGTTCAAGTTGCCTTTGAAATGGAAAAGTCTCATTATAATAAAAAATATGGCAGTATTACAGAAAACCTTTTTTGTATGCATATGGAAGATGGCATTTCATATTCTGAAACATGTTCTGTGTTGCTTATTAAAGAGGATGGCATTTCCTGTGGATTTGCTGGATAATTGCAGTCATGAGGAATTGGAAAATTCTGCTGAAGATTACATGTCAGATTTAAGATGTGGGGACCCTGAAAATCCAGAGCGTTTCCCTCTTCCCAGTATAACGGTAAGGCATTCTGCTGTGATGTTTTTTGAGGTTTTAAGTCCAGCTTATACATGAAGCCACCATTAGTATTTTAAAAAATTATTTCGGTAGTGTTTCCAGAAATTTGATCAGTAAAATGTGTTAATAGGAGCAATTTATGAACAGATGAAAATCTACAAGTTATTGCTGAATGTTTGTCTTTTTGCCCTTAAAGTTATGTTTAAGAAGTTACCATATTGGAATTAAATTTACGTTCGATTTGGAATATATGTTTAGAAATTTTTTTAATTAGAAAAATGAGCTAAACACCAAATTACATTTTGTGGCATTAATCTTTATTTCCTCTTGAAAACAGTAAAGAATCAAAACTTCTAGTCAGTAAGCTGTGATGCATTGTGATAATGAGATCAGTAGAGTTGGAATCTTTAGACTTCCACTGTGAACTGAGGCGGGCAAATTCCTTTAACCTCTACAACCCTCAGATTTTTCTTCTGGAAATGGTGCGGATCTAGATTTGTAAAGCACCAGTATCTTACATTGTCTGGTTTATAATACTGACTCTGAATGGAGAATGTGTGTTGGATTAGTGAAAAGTGAAGTGTTAAAGTATTGGATGTTTCATGGTGGAAAACTGATTTTAATTAACTGGCTTCTTTTACTAGAAAATAGAATATGTCCTCCTTATGTAGTCCAAGTAAAAATGGTAAAGAATAGTTGATTTTCAGTGACTTTATGGATCATATCATGGCTTTTGTTTTTATTTAGTCATGTAGCCAGAACATAATAATATATACTGAAATACCCCCAGGATAATAAAATTCTTCCAAGATAATAAAAAGGAAATATGTTTGATTTTACTTTTCTTTTAGGGAATAGGAAGAGTGTCACCTTGAAATGAAGTTATATGATTAAAATTGATACAGGAAAAATTTAATATTTGGATAAACACTAAGATACTTTTATTATGTATTTTCTTTCTAAAATTTCTTTTAACATTTTTTATTTTGACTGGTAAGTGTTTATAATATGTTATGTATTTTCTTAACTAATCGTTAATCAACTGTCATTTCAGATTCCTATTCGCCTGTCAAATGTAGGCTTTGTGCCTCTTTATGGTGGAGATCAGACCCAGAAAATTCTTGCTCTTTTTGCTCCTGAGGATTCACTCACAGGTCTCTTTTTTGCTTCATTTTTGTAAATTGAGGAGCTTTATTCCAGACTTTTAGAAACTTATTAAGAGGGTAGCTGCAGGAAGCAATTTATTTTTTTAAGATTTTATTTCAAATTGTAAGTTTAAAAAAATGTAATTTGTTTGTTTGTTTTTGGTACAGGGAATTGAACTCAGGACCTTGTGCTCGCCAGGCAGGCACTGTGCTGCTGAGCTATACCCCTGACCCTATTTGTTTGTTTTAAGAGAGATCTCGTTATATATTTCAGGCTGGCTTTGCGCTCACTATGTAGTTCAGGCTGTCCTCAAACTCACAGCAGCCCTCCTGCCTTAGCCTCCCAAGTGCTGGGATTATAGGCATGTGCTACCACACCCATGGAAAATGTAATTTTCTTTCTGTTTTTGTTTTGTTTTGTTTTCCGGTACTGGGAGTCGAACTCAAGACCTTGCGCTTGCCAGGCAGGCGCTGTGCCGCTGAGCTAAATCCCCAGCCCCAAAAATGTAATTTTCTATTGCTTATAATCACATTTTAAATGGATGAAACAAAAATGGTATAAATGGGGCCACATTGTACTATAATGGTAATTTAAGGGAAGCAATATAAATTTACCAAAATAGTAATACTGTACACATTAACTTGAAGACTTACATGTTAATGATCATTTATTCTGTTTTAGCTGTGGCTCTTTACCTTGCTGATCAGTGGTGGGCTATTGATGATATTGTGAAAACATCTGTTCCAGCTAGAGAAGGACTTAAGCAGGTAACAAGCTCTTACAATTCAAGGTTTCCTATAAACAGTGATAATCTTTGAAGTTACCGAACTCTCCCCCATTTAATAAGATTATATTGTATTAAATCCCTGGAGTTCTAGTCTTATGATGAAACCAGAGCCCAGGTTAGGTTTCCTCTATTTAGGTGACCCTGAATGTGTCTGAGGAATTGGGTGAAGAAGACTGAACAACTTGGGTTGGTTGAGCTGTGTTCTTTATCCATTTGAGCTTCTGATTATCTTATTTGGTGGAGGAAAGGCTAATCCACTTGGTGTGGTTGCTAAGCTTCCATGTCACTGGAGAAGATGGACCAAGAGCCTTGTTTATTACTTGGGGCTCCTCTGGTGGCTGAGGTGTAGTGTGTGAAACAGGACAGTGACCAGGTTCAGACAGAGCATAAGCCAACTGGCTCTTGTGTTGCCCGAGGGACACTGTCCATTAGAGCTATGAGAGCTCAAGAGGTGTATCTATGCTGTGGTTAGAGAGTGGACAGGACAGGAGAAAAATATAGAAACCAAGATGATAAATACTAGAATAGGTTGGGCAAAGTAGAAAAGTGTTGATGTCTTTGGTGACAGAAAGACTCTAACTTAAAGTGGAAGAGTAGGGTACTTGGCTTGGTCAGGGTGCATCAGGCTTTTCTTACGGGAAATACTAAGTATTACTATTGCTTAATAGATGCAGAGATCTTTAATTAATCCTGTGAGAAAGAGACCTTGCTGAGGGGAATAGAGTCGACAGATACAAATATATATCCTAATATTCTTCCTTTAGGAGGTTTCTAGGCTAGCGCAAGTCTATAAAAACTTGTCAGATCTTCAAGGTGTCACCTGTTTGTGTTCACTTTAGTGGGCAAATTGAGCCCAGAGAAGAAGCAAGGAAAGCATTTCTAGAAACTTTGAAATCCAGGATAGGAAAGTGAGGCTCTTTCGGGTTACTGGAATATTCTAATTTCTTCCTTTTGAGTTTGGAACTTAAAAGAGGATCAAATTTAAAGGAAGGAAATGTTGGGTACTAATATAGTTAGTGTTGTTCCTTGTGGGTATTGCATTCATTATTGAATGTGCCTTGAGATTCCAGAGCAATGGGTCCATCTCACAAAGACTGGGAGAATGTACAGCTAGATATCTACCAGTCTGATAAAGAACTTCAAACACAAAATTAAGGGGAGGAGGGAATTAATATCCTGCATACTGAGTTACATAACAAGACCTTGTCTCAGAAAACAACAAAAAAAGAATCCTGCGTAACGCTGTCAAATAGGAGGAGTGCATTAGCAATAGAAATATAATTTGTTCCTAGGAACAGCTCATAGCTGAAGGAAGTGTGCCTGTCCAGAAGATAAACATTTTGTGGTGTTTAAATGTGACTGAAGTTTGGACATTTGGCTGGAAGGTTAAAGAACAGAGAAGGAGAAATCTTATGATGTCTGTGTAGCCTCTCCTTCGTACTCTAAGATATGAAATCCCCAGATACGGTTTTCAGAGGAGTTGTTGTCAGGGCCAAATGAGATTGTTTGGATTCCCTCAATAGGCCTCCTTTACTCTAATTACTTGGTGACAATATTCCTACTTGAAAAGTAGGGAAATCAGTGAAGGGAGACTGCTACTGTAGTTAAATCCTTGCCAATAAGGAAAAATTGATGGTAAAGTCACAGGAATAACTCTTCTTCCACTAATAAACATATGACCTTAGCTATGACTTTGTTATTATAAACTTTGTTTCCCACTGTCTCATAGTTGTGGTAAAATAAAATGAGAGAAGCTAGTGCTGTTACCTCGAAGGGAGGTCCTCAAACATACTGTAAAACTTTGACCCCTTTTCTGTCCTGGTCGTTGCCCCTCCCCCCATCACATTTAGAGGAAGGTATAGACAGCAGGCTTATCAATTTTGCATGTCTTAGCCCTGAATGGGGGAACTAATCTATGGAAGGCAGAATGAAAAAACAGAAGGATCTAACGTGATGGAATTAAATAAGGATAAATGTGTCATAATATCTAAGTTCCAAGATAGTTAGCTGTGCATGTCTGCCGTGAATACCAAACTGAAACAGCAGAGCAGGTGAAAAATACTTGGGCTTTATTGAAGTAGGGATAGAATGAAACTAATGAAAACATTACTTTTCTCCAGAGACATCCCATTACCTCAGCAGTTTCTTCAGTGTTTATTTCTATAATGTCCATGTGCCAAACAAGAAGAGAGATATTAGGGATCTGATGTCTTCCAAAGCAGAGGACAGAAAGGGCAAGAGTTCCCCAGATTTCATTTGGTCAGCCTTTTCTTTCAGTTGTTTCATTGTTCAGCTTTGGTATGAAATTTAGAAGAGAATCATTGCCATCTTCAAATGTTGGTAGGCTGTGTTGCTATAGAGTATCAAAGTATAGTCGTGAAGTAGATCTCAGCACAGCCTGAGGAAGAATTGCATATTGGTCAGAGCTTCAAGGAAGGAATGGGTTGCCCTGCCCATTGGTGCGAGTCAGCTCTGTCATTGCCCATATTGTCTGGTACTGCAGATGCCCTGCCAGGGGTACTTTTAAGAGTAGTGTGTGCATATGGTTAATCCTTTCTCTCTCCACTTAACTAATCAGAAGGAACTTGTTTTCCCTTCACGGGACTTGGAAGAAAAAAGGCTTTATGGACAGAGCTCTTGTTTTTAGCCTGAAAGATGTCTTTGGGGAAAAACTGATGTCAGAAGGTTGTGGGTGTTGGTGGGGTTCCTGTGACCATGTGGCCCTGTGTGTAAAGATGAGGCTCTGTTTCTGTTCTGTGGCTGCCTCAAGTCATATGCTTGACTGAACTTACCCAGTGTCCCTGTCCTTATCTGGCTTAGCAGAGGGATGTTTGGGTGGCTGGGATGGGATAGTCCTATAGTTACAGCAAAGACAGGACTGTTAAGTGAACATTTCACTTAAAAAAGTGAGACAGATGCCCTTCCCAAGGGTATAATTATGGCTTCCTTCAGCAAATGAGGTGATTGTTGTTAAAAGACTCCAGAGTACAATGCTAACTTTTTTCTTTCTTTTAAATATGGAGCCTGGAAAAGGGTGTAAAGAGTTGAAGGAGGATGCATAGAGGGTCTGTGATTAGGGCTGTGTCAGACCTTGGCTGAGCATGAAGGAGGTGCTGGGTAAGCAAGGTGCACTGGGAACCTATTTCTGCTTGTATTAGACTTCTCTGAGAGGCAGTATTCCATGTGTGAAACATGTCTATGGAAATGATGTGAAAGATTGGTTTCATCTCTGTGACTACGAAATGTTTTAAAAATGGCTTTGAATGCAGTGAGAGTGCTCTGAATGCCCTGAGAGGCATGGGGGCAGGAGCAGGGTGAGGAGCCTTCCCTGATGGCTACATATGGTAACTGCTGTGCCTGCTGTTTGCCTCTCTTTGTAGGTGAGCACTCTTGGGGAGAGAGTGGTTCTGTATGTTCTGAACCGCATTATTTATAGAAAACAGGAAATGGAGAGAAATGAGATCCCATTCCTGTGTCATAGCAGTACTGATTATGCTAAGATTCTGTGGAAGAAAGGAGAGGCCATTGGGTTTTATTCAGTTAAGCCTACAGGTGAGTCTTTTCAAGTTATTTAAATTGTACGTTTTAGAAATCTCCATTTTAGAAACCCCCAACCGAGTCATTCTCTGTTAAATTAAACTGTAGAATGCATATTGAGGTGATTCTACTTAATATTTTTTGGGACTACTTTTATTCTCTTATGAAAGTAAGGTTTTTAGGAAAGTCTTTTGCTAAGAAACCAGAAATAAACAGTTGCTACAGAAGATGTCTTTTCCACATGTACAGAGAAAACATTAGAGTTGAACTTGAAATTTGTCTTTCCTTTGCATTTTCATTCAAAGGTTGTTTACTTCAGTTTCTGTTGCTGTTGCTATTACTGGCTACTTCTAAAACCATGTGGTCTAAATGTATTGCTCAAAATGGTTGGTTCAATCTAACTTGTTATTGAGCAGCATGACTGATTACCGAGAAAAGCAAAGTGCTTTAATGTATTTAGAAGATACAAACTCCTTTGAAGTTGTTAATCTCAAGCTTGGGTTTCTAATTCACAGGAAGATGTTTTTTTTTTGTTTGTTTTTTTTGTTTTTTTCTCCGGTACCGGGAACCGAACTCACGACCTTGCGCTTGCCAGGCAGGCGCTTTTGCCGCTGAGCTAAATCCCCAGCCCGATGTTTCGTTTTTATTGTATTTTTTTTTGGTACCGGGAATCGAACTCACAACCTTGCACTTGCCAGGCAGGCTCTGTGTCACTGAGCTATATCCCCGGCCCAGGTTTTTAATTGAAAGAGCGAACTGTATCCAATATACGAGAGATGAAGGCTGCTTCACACGTGCCATTCATTAAGCTTCTGAGAACTGCTAGAAGAAGGTCTAGCTTACTTTCTGTGTGTGCATGTACACCCTGTACTTCTGCCTCCAAATCACAGTCTGCCTTCTGTACCTTGACCAAAAACATGCTTTAGTTTCTTTCTCTTTTCCAATAAACCAGTCTTCCCAACTTAGCTTTTTGGATCAGCGCCAGTTTAAAGATCATACTACAGATCTGAAGAAAGGTTGGGAATGATACCTTAATCATGTAATTAACACACATTTGTAATGAGCCTTAGTGCATATAGTCAATAAAAGGAAGATCATTTTTCCTCAAGAATAAAAACTTGTATAATTTGAAATGTTTGCTTTATAGTAAATACTGTGGGTCTCCTTTAATATGCTGTCTTGTTCTTATATAGATCTGCAGTAGAACCAATGGTTTATGTAAGTTGAGAAAGCTATTTATTGTACACAGGTAAAAAGGAATGGTTAGTGAAAGTTCAGTGCTGCCTTGCATCAGAGGCATCCCTTTATTATTTTTAAGTGTTTCATGGCTGGGGTTGAAGTGTGATTAATTGCTGTATGCTCTATTTTATACACGGTAACTCCTGTGAAAACACAGGCTTTTTACTTCTTATACTGGTTTTAAGGGCTTTCCTACCTGAAACTAGCCTACATGTTTGAAACACACATTAGTTTATACACTTTAGCTGAGGGCTTGCTTTCTATTCGAGACACGTAGTTAAGCAGCAGTGTTGCCTGTATTTCTGATCAGTATTTGACTTGTCTTTGTTGCATGTGCATCTTCAGCTTCCTTCTGGAAAATGGCCTTTAGTTTCACTAGGTCTAGTAGCTAACTCCATTTTGTATTACAGCTTTCAGGTATCATGGTAGCTGCCACTTTCAGCATCTTCCATTCTTTCTCCTGTTGCCTTACATCCTCACTGTTTACTTGAGTTCTTTCCCTGTTAAGCTCTTTCTCTCCACCAAGTCACAGTGGAATTAGATATACTCACACTGGCCCTTCAACTAGTTGGCATTTAGTTTAGGGAAGTGCTCTTTCTGGAGACGAAATTCTGACATTTTAAAAATATTTTTGTGAGACTGTTGAAAACAAATATAATGCACTGTGACCTCCCCCCTGCAAGCATATATATTAGGGAAAAAGTGCATAGTAACAAAAAGGTAAAAGTTTTGTTAAGCAGATTGATGGTTGAATGAAAATCTTGGAGTCATTAATGATTTTTTTGTGTGTGAAATAGCAAATTAGATGAGGGTGTTTGTACATAAAAGTGGTTTTGATATGCAAAAGATGGTTTTTGTATATGAGGTCAAGTTCAGTTACAGTATAGTGGAATTGAAGAAACTATAAATTCTTTTTTGCCTGAAATAAAAAGATTACTGAGCAATTTATAGTTTGTTTTCTGGGCTAGGTAGTTTCGCTAAAAGATATTTCTGGGGCTTTTGTTTTTTCTGCTGTTAGTTTAATGTAATGAGTGTGTTAATTTTTGCCTTTAAGGTTTTTCTTCCATCCATCCATCCATCCATTTATTTATTTTTTTTATTTAGTGCTGGAGATGAAACCCAAGGCTGCCCCATATGCTAAGCACATGTTCATTCTCACAAGCCACACTCCCAGCCCTGTGTGATCTTACATAATTCAAAAAACTCCAGAAGCACCAAGCTAATCTTTCAACTAGTGCTTTTTTCAAATAGTGTTTATTTTTGTAGTTGAAGGAATGTTTCAGAAAATAATTGTTGAGATTCCTGAATTTACCTTAGTTATCAGTAGAATAAATGCTCCCTTCTTTGATCAGCAGTTGTGTACTTCATGCAGCTGATTCTTTTATCATTGTTTTGAGGAAGAACAGAAGAGTGAAGGTATTGTCACTGCTTTTATGTCATGAGTATCTCTTGGGATCTGTTGTTTGCATCTTAGAATGTCTTTAGTTATTAGGGTTGGTTCAGATCTGTGTTTTAGGTCTAGGGAGGGGTAGGGAGCAAAGAGAAGCAAAATGATTCATAACCAAAACAAGTGCCGCACTCCTATCAGTCCAGGAAAGTGAAAGTATTCATAAGAAGTTTGAAAATATGCTTGATTGTCTACTTTCTCACATAGCCCAAGACTGCCAACAAATTTGAGGTTGAAGAGATTATTGATGACATAATTGGAATAATTTATTTTTATTTAACTAATCCAGTTTATTTTTTGAAAACTAATACTTTTTAGTGTAGTGAACAGTTAAATTACTTTTTAAATGTATCATCTTTTAAATAAAGATGTAATATGTAGAAGACTTTAATTAGTATCCAGGAGAATTTCGGCTTCATTGTAGTATTGCTGTTAACTTGTAAATTGTCTGACTTCCTTTCTCTTCATGTTTTTTTTTCCAATGTTGGGGAGTAATGCTTGACCAAAGGATCACTTAGACTTCTTGCTCTGAAGTTTTCTGAATCTCCAGTTAGTAGTTGGAGTGTCCATTGGCAGAAATCCATGGTCCTGGAACTGGTTTTAAATGAGAAGGGTGAATTTAAGAGAAACAGATCAGACCTTAAAGTTGAAAGACTGTGGTAGTAAACAGAGTTAGTCTTGTGAAGAGGAGGCTCACCGAGAGTAAACACAGAGTATTTTAGCATCAAAGCCCCGATTCTTTCCGTGAGATATTATTCAAGGTGTTATAGGAATGAAGATTGTTTTTTCTCACTCAACAGACTTATGAAAGCAGTCTCAAAGCTCTTAGAGATTGATATTCAGCGTCACATTTATGATTTCTTTTATTCTATATATTTTATTTTATTCTCAGAAAAAACTCATTTTTAGAAGTTACATATTGTTACAAGTTTGAGCATTTTCTTGCCATTACTTTCTATGTATAGGCTGTACACAGTCTCTAGACCCCGAGTTTTAAAAGAAATAAGCTAGGTCTGTCGTGTGTAGTAACTTTGTTTAATGCATGGCTGGACCACAGTGGGGTCTATGCCGTCTTTCAGAGTAGTTTTTATGTGACAACTCTCAGATGGTGGTATTTCCTAGAAAGAAAGAGCAGTATTCATGTGCTTCCCACAATCTTGCATGTCCTGTAGCACATCCTTCACAATCCATGTACGAAGTATGTTTTCCTGTGCCTGTCCTTGGCACTTACTAGGATGGACATATCTTCTAGCATCTCTATTCATCAGTCCCCTCTGGTTGTCAACTTTGGTCTTCATTATACTTGTCAGTTTTTCAGCTTGTAATGAAGATCACGTATAGTAATAAAAGATACTTACTAAGCACACTATGCTAGGCACCAGAGAGTTATAGTTTAACTCATTTCTTGTATTATCATGTTTTGTAATCATCTAATCCGAAAGTCAAGTTACACTATAGCCATCCCTATCACGAGGGACTTCTTTTTCCCTTTTCATGTTATTCTGTGAGAAACATTCTTATTATGGTAAATGGAATTATTAAAGTGTTCTGATACTATGCTTTTACCTTTCTTGATGATCCAGAAGTTGGTACAGCATTTACTTCTGGTAGTATAATACTTAGAGTGCTACTGCCTCAGGGGTTAAGCCACTAAGTGATCTGTATTTCATTTTTTATATTTCTTAAGGTTGACAGCATGTCTTTAATAATTCTAACGGGGCCAACTCCTTTTTCTGTATATCAACAACAGATTTTTAATTTTTATTTAAAAATTTTTTGCGTGTGTGTGTGAGTGTGTGTGTGTGTGTATAGTTGTTTTTTTTCCCTTTTGCTATACTGGGGGTTGAATCCAGCTGCACTCTCAAGGTTTTTTATTTTGAGACAGAATCTTGGTAAGATGCTAAGTTGCCTGAGCTGGGCTAGAACTTGGAGTTCTCCTGCATCGATCTCGCAGAGTGCTGGCACTGCAAGCTTGTGCCACCATGCCTGGCTAGAACAATTGATTTCCATATGTAGTCTCCTCAGTGTTGCAAGAAGATTGTGGTAGTGTCATTACCACAAAGAAAGGTCTTTCTATTATTGGCCCCTTTAGACTGATTGAATTAAATTGTGCTCTAGAATACCATCATTTTACCTTCAATATGTGGTCTGTGAAAACAGGTGTTTATGATCAGTGTTAAAGCCAACACTGTGACTTCCTTTTGTCTTACAATAGGTAATGATAGAGGCCTCTTCAGCATCAACTCATAAGCGTTTCCTCAAAATTGGTATATGGAAGAAACAGTTTCTTTAGCAGCCATATATATACAGTGAGCTATTGTGGCAAGTT